GTTACGGAATAAGTTAATTAAAAAACGGAAACGTAACAATATATCTATATGCTTGTGTGTGTGTGTGTGTATTTATCAATTACGTAAGTCATCATACACTAACACATTTCCGTCTATCTAACTGTATATCGGTTTTTCTGTCTATCTATTTATAACTTACTGTTATCCATATCCTTAGGATCAGCGTAACAACCATCTAGTTTCAACATATCAACATTCCAATCAGCAAACGTTTGAGCATCGATCTCGAAATGGTCAGCGCTTCCTGGATAGCCTGCACAAGTTTTACTACCACAGTCCTGGTAAATACCTAATTTCAAACCTTTAGAATGAACCTGTAAAAATAATTGGAATCTCAAGCACTTCAATTGGTTTTATGTTAGAAAATATTTTATAAATATATTTAACAGGACGACTTTTAAAGGTGTATTTGAGGTAAAGTTACTAAGGCTATCTGCCGCCGTCCCTTATTTTGAACTACTGATACGATGAAAGAAAATCAGCCAGCAACTGCATTCTATCACTCAACATTCACAACTTAACGTGAGCGGAATATTTTGAGGCATCGCACAGATTTGAACACGAATCGCTATCTTCGAAGCCCAGAGCTTTATTAGAGAGTACCCCCCCCCCCTACACAGCAAAAAGTATTGTTACGTCTCTGGTCGTTTGTTAATTACTCGTAAAAAATACAGGTTCTTTCTTAAATAAAACTAGTTTATTTTTCCCTGGATACAACTTTGCAATACACTTAATTTCCACAGTCACTTTAAACACACGCTATAATTCACAATGATTCACGAACTTACTTATGGTCACTACCGCGCTTGACTCAATTGTCCATCTCTATCTCTGCCTGTCTGCAATTCAATTCCGATTAATTTGTCTCACGTTATCCGGCGCACTTATATACATACTGGATTATTCGTGATATTTCCCGATCATTCGAGAATAGCATGACGTGTTACCAGAGTCACGTGACTACCGCTGTCGTAACAATACAAACAACTATACAATTTGCAATAACAGTTATGACACACAATGATGACACACAATGATTTACATACAAAAATTTTACAAACTTA